ACGACAAGCCATATGAATCAACTGAACCCAAAGCTGAAAGGTGAAACAAATTTAATTTGTGATCTATTCATGTAGGTCAAGGCATTCAGGACAAAACTGATGCTATTTGAAGGACAGGTGAAAGTTTCTAACTTGGTTCATTTCCCATGTGAAAAATTTCATGAAAAAAGTGAAGCAGAATTTCCTTCTTCATTAGCAACAGAAACCAATAATGACTTTCAAAAAAAAATCAGAAAAGATTTTCTGATCTTGATGGAAAAACAGATGAAATATAGCTATTTCAAAAATCCATTTGAATAGGGAAAACAAATGAAGGAGAAGCAGGAGTGCAGTGGGGTATCAACATCCAGGGTCCTAGACTATTCAATATCTTAACAGAAGATATCCGAAACACAGCTGGAACAAGTGTAGAAGCCTTCAAGAGGAAACTGGAAAAGTATCTTCACCAGGTGCCAGATCAACCAGGCTGTGATGGATATGTGGGGCAGCAGGCCTCCAGCAGCAACAGCCTGGTTGACCAGGCAAGTACCAGACAAGCCTGACCCATGGCTGGGCTCCAAGAGTAGTGAAACTCTCGAAACTCTTCAAAGGTATATCAAAGGTATATAAATAAAGCTGTTTCAAAATTCACTTGACTGCAACACTGAAACACTCCCTAGTCAGTTTCAAAAGGAAATTATTGATCTCCAATGAAATGACATGCTGAAAGGAAAGTATAAAGAAGGAAATCTGATCCAATTTTATAAATCTTTACAGCCTGAAAAGTTTCCAAATTTGAAGCAATTTGCTTGTGGATTTGTATGTTTTTGGTACAATGTACCTTAGTCCAAATATAGCCTAAATTTATCTGATGAGCATTTAACCCTTTCAGGGTCCAAGGCCCAAATCTGGAGTCACGCACCAGTGTCCAAGAATTTTCAAAAAAAAAATTTGTTATTTTTTCTTATGAAATCATAGAGAATCTTTTTGTGAAGGTAATAAAACAAAAAGTACGAAATTTGGTGGAAAATTGACGAAATTATGCTCTCGCAAATTTTGATGTGTCAGCGATATTTACGAATCGGCGATTTTGCCGACTTTGACTCCCATTTTAGGCCAATTACATTATTCCAATCAACCAAATTCTTAGCTATTTCACTAGTATTACTTCTATTCTATCGATTGAGCACAAGAAACCGCCAAGTCAACTGTTTCAACTACAAAATAAAGTGATCGGAAATTGTTAATTTGGCCAATTTAACACAAAGTTCAAAATATTCCAATTTCAAAATAGGGTCCAGAATGAACAATGTAGGCATTCCTGGCACTAAACTAACATTTCCTCTGTTCATTAGTTATGTTTTGAGGCTTTACAAATAAATTCCATTTTGATTTTTTATTCACATAATGAATTTTTATTCACACCAAAAAATAGAAGATTTATTGTTATGCAATACTGTAATAATTGTATAAATATCATCACCATATTTGTGAATGTATATTAGACCCACCAGCTGGCGTGTATTAGACGTGTGAGGTCGTTTGTTTACTCTTGAATATCGGCAAAAATTTAACATTTCCGCTACTTTGAGCTCAGTTTCAAGCCATTTCTAATGCTAAAACCAATCAAAATCATCTCTATTTCTGTAATATGTCTTCCATTCTATCAAATGAGACCAAGAAATCGCAAATACAACTATAAAAAACATACGAAAAAACACTGCAAAGTTGCTGTTTTAATCGAAAAATCATGATTTCAGTTTTTTTCTCTCATTATACACAGTGTGCTGCAGGATCTGTTTTATGTGGTGCACACATACCACATAGATGTATTCTCTCATATCTAGGCCCAAATGTACCACTCACAGTTTATCAGAGTGAGCTGAGCTCATGGCGTAGATCTATGGTTTGGACCCTGAACGTAAAGCCGTAGATCTACAGGACGGACCCTGAAAGGGTTAAAGTCAATTCTAATAATTGGCTCCTCAAAGCTTGAAGCCTCAGGCAGCAATATTTTAAAATTAAAAATCCAGTTCCATCATTCCCATTAATCTTGTGCAAATTAATCTTCTGTCAGCTTTTTTCATCTGTGGTTCAGTAACTGATTATACTGCCAGAGCACTGACTTATGCTTGACATTTTTACTCATTATATATCATTTCTCAGTGTAAGCATGGTATTGTTTCTTCATAATTGTCACATTTCTCTTTTGCTCTGAATCATGCCATGCTGATTACAAAAAGGATCAAAATAAAATTTATTCATTAATTTAAATTTTATTCATTCATTTATAATTACAGTGGGCCCCTGGTTATCGGCCGTAATCCATCCCAAAAGGTCGGCCTAAATCTGAAAAGGCTGAAAACCGAAGTAATATTTCCCATAAGAATTAATGTACATGTAAATGCAATTAATCTGTTCCAGACACCCAAAAAATTAACAAAAAATAATTTTTTTAAAGATTAACTATAGTTTTACATATAGAAAACAATGAGAAATAAATATAAAGCACAAATTTTAATGATAAATGAACATTACATACCTTTATTGAAGACTTGTTGGTGTATTGAAGAAGGCGAGGAAGGGAGAGGGAGTTGGGAATCCCCCTCCATAAGGACTTCAGGTATCAAAACCCTCTCTAGGGTTACTGCCCTTCTTTGTCATTTACTGCCACAGTACATTCATTACTTACCTTAAAATATTTATAGTCTTAATGTAGGGCAAAAGGTGAGTAGTATTTATTTGTAGGAAGCCAGTGTAGGTAGCGGTAGATGTAGGTACACGTTAGCCCCCTTGGGCTACACTACACAGCCATATTATTACATCAACATACCATGTTCACCAAGTTTAATCGTTTCTAACAACTACCTTTAGATGCCATCATCAACAAAGGGATGAATAATTCTCAGCATGAATAATTCATGCTGAGAATTGTAAACAAATGCATATGAAGGGCGGTGGCTGGGCCAGATGCAAGATTCACAGTTTTCTCTAACGCCCCTCCACCCTCCTCCTCCTTGATTCGCCTGTACTCACCACTCGATAACAAATAAACATTGCATGTTTATATGCTATGTACCATGCTTCTTATATAATTTCAAAGAAAATATCATAGATGGATTAATGAAAATGTCTATATTAACCTAAAATAAGACATTTAATGTGCCCAAGAGTGATTATTATTAAACATACATCGCATATAAACACTACATGTTTTTATATACAGTGGAACCTCGGCTCACGAGTTTTTCAGGATATGAGCAGTCGCTTGGTCAATTTTTTGTTTCTGGATACGAGCAAAAATTCAGGATGCGAGCTTCACCTTCAAGGGAGGTTCCTTGATGCTGGTGAGGGGCTCATGATCTAGGGAACTGTATCTGTGCTCCAGTTCCCTAAATTAAGCCTGAATACTTTCCATCTCCTCCCCACAGGCACTGTATAATCCTACAGGCTTAGCACTTCCCCATTAAAATATTCAGTAAGTCAGTCAGTCAGTAAGTAAGTCAGTCAGTTAAGTCAGCAAGTCAAGTCAGTAAGTCAGTCAAGTCAGTAGGTCAGTCAAGTCAGTCAGTAAGTCATTCAGTCAAGGCAGTCAGGTCAGTCAAGTCAGTCAAGTCAGTCAGTCAAGTTAGTAAGTCATTCAGTAAGTCAGTAAGTCAAAACACAATTCACAAATACAGCTAGCTTGTAGGAGAGCAGTGGAACTGAACAGTATTCACAAAAGCTGGGATGGTGGTGTCGAGTGTCAGGGGATGGCAGTGCACCTCATGGTGGAAGGATTCTCACTAATCACATGACATATTTTTTCATTCTAGAGTATATATCAGGTTTCTATGTTATTTATATTGTTTATTATCTCATATAAGATGAAGTTTGATAAATAAATAAGCCATAGAGTTGATATTGGTGAAATACTTAAGTATTTTGTCCTGTCTCTTTAGAGCAGGAATTCTGCTGGAACAGATTAATAGCATTTCAATTAATTTAAATGAGGAAAATTGACTCAGCATACGAGCAAGGTCATGAAACAAATTAAACTCATAAGCCAAGGTTCCACTGTACATACTATATAATGTGTTTCTTATATAATTTTGAAGAAAATATCATAGATGGATTAATGAAAATGTCTATATTAAACTGAAATAAGACATTTAATGTGCCCAAGAGTGATAATTATTACGCGTTCAATACGGCCAATTTTCGAGTTGCCGGCCGAAATCCAGGACAGGATTTCAGCTCAAAAAAAAAAAAAAAAGTGGCTGAAATCTGATTTGGCCGATATCCGGACCGGGCGATATTCGGGGGTCCACTCTATTTATAAGACTGATTTTTTTCTTTTGCCCACAAAAATGTGTAAATTAATTATACAATGTGGTCTTCATAGTGAAAACCCTGAAGACCCCTGGTTTAGACTATCCCAATAACTGATGCAGAACAGGGAAGGAGAGGCTTAGTCCTCCTCAGGACAATCACCAAAAAGTCACATTTCTGCTGCTCTGAGGCCTATTTCAAGCTATTTCCAGTCTGAAACCAATCAAAATCTTGGTATCCATTCTCTCGACTGATACTAAGAAACAGTCAATAAAACCATAAAAACTATTCTAGAAAACCCTCAAATTCACTATTTTAAAGCAAATACAAGATCAGAAGTTTGCTATTCTCATCACGCACTATGGGGGGCAGGATTTTTTTTTCATACTGTGTATGCCCACCACACCCATTGTCTCAGGTCTAGGTCAAAATTTATTGCTAACAGTATATCTGAGGGTGTGCTGAAAACATGGATCTACAAGAGCAACACTGGTGTCATTAACACAGATCTACATGGGAGACAATAAAAGGGTTAAGGCTGATGCCTATTTAACTTATCACTCCATTCAGGACCTCTTGAAGTGGCCTTTTTCTGTGACCTGCCTACAACTTTGAACAAGTTGTGCTGAAATAAACTGAAATTAAAGACTTTAGGTTTTAGCATGACCAGCAAATATATACAACAATTACTATCAGGGTTAGCATTTTACCTTGGGCTAGGAGTAGTAGACACGTGAGATTGCTTATTAGTCACCAAACGTACACCATCCACATCACTGAAGTGCACTCGTCTTTCTACCTGAGACTCTGGCAAGGTAAGGGTTGTTGGCCTCTCTACACCCAGCTCAGATGACATCTTCAAAGGATCACCTGGTATTATAAGATCATGAAAACACAGTTCATGGGTACAGTATAAAAAAAGTTTTCATAGCTTCCAAAATACCCAAAAATATAATAACCACATTTTAAATTATACTTTAAATAAACCCAATTTAGTTACAACTACAGTGGTCCCTCATTTATCGTCTTAATCCGTTCCTGGAAGTGCGACGGTTATTGAAAGACGATTTTCGAATAAATTTTCTCCATGAGAAATAATGTAAATACAATTAATCCGTTCCTGATACCCAGAAGTATTAAAACTAAAATTTTTTTTACATGAAATACAGATGTAGTACATAAACAATACAATGGGACATGATGAATGAAACATTAACAGCATAACACTTACCTTCATTGGCAATTCTTCTTAGTGTATGGAAGACTGGAGGATGAGAGACATTGGATTAGTTACTGTTTGGAAGGGGAATACCCTTCCATCAACACCTCAGGTACCAAGTGCTTTTCTGGGGTCACTTCTCTTCTCTGTTTCTTAATGCCACTAGGACCAGCTTGAGAGTCACTGGAGTCCTGTCTCACAAAAAAAGTGTCCACAGAGCTCTGTTTCTGGCATCTCTTTAAAACTTCCCTAAAATGGGCCAAGACTCTGTCACTGTACAAGTTACCGATATGGCTTGCAACATCCTTCTCAGGGTGATGTTTCGCCATAAATCTTTCCATCCTACCCCACATTTCACCATGCCTTATCACACTGTGTATGCCAGTATGCTTCATAAATCTCTCAAAACCAACCTTTACTGGCCTTAAATTCACAATTATCAGTACTCGTTGCAAGCAATTTCTTTACCAGATCGTCATGCAACTGCCTAGCCTTTTCACAAATAATCGACGTCATAAGAGTATCTCCTGCTAATTGTTTCTCGTTTATCCACACCAATAATAACTTCTCAACATCTTCGAGTACTGGTCATCTCATTTTTGTCAGCATATTTACCCCCTTTGCAACAACAGCTTCCTTGATTTCCTTTTTCTTGGCCATGATGGAAGATATGGCTGTACGGGATTTGTTATACATCCTGGCCAGTTCAGCCATACGTACGCCACTTTCATATTGTTCAATGATGTTTTTCTTAAATTCAATCATATTTCTCACTTTCTTTATTACCAAAGCCTTGGCACTAGGAGCTTTCTTTGGAGCCATGGTAGCTTATTTAGCACTTGCAAGCACTAAAATGAATGGAATATTATGAAATATTTCGTATGAACAAGTGAGGGGACAGTCGCTCAATGGTAAACAATGGCACACTGGCTGGGAAGGGAGGACGAGGTGGCTCAGAGCGTGAGTACGTGTCCCGGACGAAGGATGATTAGCAAGTAAACCGACCATTTGCGAGCCAATGTTTGGACGAGAATAACGCGAAGATTTCCGAAAAGGATGACTATCGAGCCGGACGATTATTGAGGGACCACTGTACATTAAAATAACACTAAATTTACTTTAGAGCCTACTGTATTTTAAGATTCAGAATGTTTTTGTATCATTGCTGTGTATATGTGTGAGTGACAAGCAACAGAAAAGTTTGTACAACCTCTCCTCACTTAGTGATGGAGTTCCATTCCTAAGACCTGGAGTTTACCTGGAGAGAGTTCTGGGGGTCAAAGCCCCTGCGGCCCGGTCTGTGACCAGGCATCCTGGTGGATCAGAGCTTGATCAACCAGGCTGTTACTGCTGGCTGCACGCAAACCAACGTACGAGCCACAGCCCGGCTGGTCAGGTACCGACTTTAGGTGCTTGTCCAGTGCCAGCTTGAAGACTGCCAGGGGTCTATTGGTAATCCCCCTTATGTATGTCGGGAGGCAGTTGAACAATCTCGGGCCCCTGACACTTTTCATTGGGGGGATGTTGCATCGTCTGCCAAGTCTTTTGCTTTCGTTGCGAGTGATTTTCGTGTGCAAGTTCGGTACTAGTCCCTCTAGGATTTTCCAGGTGTATATAATCATGTATCTCTCCCGCCTGCGTTCCAGGGAATACAGGTTCAGGAACTTTAAGCGCTTCCAGTAATTGAGGTGTTTTATCTCCGTTATGCGCGCCGTGAAGGTTCTCTGTACATTTTCTAGGTCAGCAATTTCACCTGCCTTGAAAGGTGCTGTTAGTGTGCAGCAATATTCCAGCCTAGATAGAACAAGTGACCTGAAGAGTGTCATCATGGGCTTGGCCTCCCTAGTTTTGAAGGTTCTCATTATCCATCCTGTCATTTTTCTAGCAGCTGAGATTGATACAATGTTATGGTCCTTGAAGGTGAGATCCTCCGACATGATCACTCCCAGGTCTTTGACGTTGGTGTTTCGCTCTATTTTGTGGCCAGAATTTGTTTTGTACTCTGATGAATATTTAATTTCCTCGTGTTTACCAAATCTGAGTAATTGAAATTTCTCATCGTTGAACTTCATATTGTTTTCTGCAGCCCACTGAAAGATTTGGTTGATGTCCGCCTGGAGCCTTGCAGTGTCTGCAATGGAAGACGCTGTCATGCAGATTCGGGTATCTGCAAAGGAAGACACGGTGCTGTGGCTGACATCCTTGTCTATGTCAGATATGAGGATGAGAAACAAGATGGGAGCAAGTACTGTGCCTTGTGGAACAGAGCTTTTCACCGTAGCTGCCTCGGACTTTACTCTGTTGACTACCACGTCGGTAAACAAATTTGTCACTAAGCGAGGAGCATACTAGTATAATGGTAGTAGTGGGTTTGAGTCAACCATCTTTAATATTGTTTTAATGTCACCTATGTGCCATTTATAACATTTCTAGTATATTTTTAATTGTTTATACAGTAGTGTACTATATATGGTAATAAACAGAATAGAGGTATTCAGCTCTAATATACATTATTTAGGTATGTATATTGGTCAGAGAGCACATCATAAGTCTGAGTCCCTGCAGCGGTTGCAGGGGTCAATTCACAGCACCTGGCCCTGCCTCTTCGCTGATCACTACTAAGTCACCTTCCCGCTTCATGAGCTTATCATCCCTCTTCTTAAAGCTATGTATGGATCCCAGACTATTCCACTTCCTGACAACTCTGAGATTGAAGAAATACTTCCTAACGTGTGTGTGTGTGTGTGTGTGTGTGTGTGTGTGTGTGTGTGTGTGTGTGTGTGTGTGTGTGTGTGTGTGTGTGTGTGTGTGTGTGTGTGTGCGCGTGTTCGTGTGTGATGAATGGTTTGAAAAACCGACAAGTTGAAGATTGAGACACTTATGCAGCATATGGGAATCTTTATTCAGGAAACGTTTCGCCACACAGTGGCTTCATCAGTCCAATACAAAGAGGAAGGCGTAAGGAGAGGAGGAGAATGAGGTAATCAGTCCCTCAGCCTGGAGTCGATGTGTTCAGTTCGTGTGTGTTCGTGTGCAGTGTGTGTGTGTGTGTTCCTGTGCAATGTGTGTGTGTGTCCATGTGAAGTGTGTGTGTGTCCGTGTGTAGTGTGTGTGTGTCCGTGTGTAGTGTGTGTGTGTCCGTGTGTAGTGTGTGTGTGTCCGTGTGTAGTTGTGTGTGTCCGTATGTAGTGTGTGTGTGTCCGTGTGTAGTGTGTGTGTGTCCGTGTGTAGTGTGTGTGTGTCCGTGTGTAGTGTGTGTGTCTGTGTGTAGTGTGTCTGTGTGTAGTGTGTGTGTACTCACCTACTTGTACTCACCTATTTGTGGTTGCAGGGGTCGAGTCTTAGCTCCTAGCCCCGCCTCTTCACCGGTTGCTACTGGGCCCTCTCTCTCCCCGCTCCATGAGCTTTATCAAACCTCGTCTTAAAACTATGTATGGTTCCTGCCCCCACTACATCACTTTCTAGGCTATTCCACTGCCTGACAACTCTATGACTGAAGAAATACTTCCTAATATCTCTCTGACTCATCTGTGTCTTCAACATCCAATTGTGACCTTTTGTTTCTGTGTCCCCTCCCTGGAACATCCTATCTTTGTCCACCTCATATATTCCGTGCAGTATTTTATATGTTGTTATCATGTCTCCCCTGACCCTCCTGTCCTCTAGTGTCGTCAGGCCGATTTCCCTTAACCTTTCTTCATAGGACATTCCCCTTAGCTCTGGCACTAACCTTGTCGCAAACTTTTGCCCTTTCTCTAGTTTCTTGACGTGCTTTATCAAGTGCAGGTTCCAAACAGGTGCTGCATACTCCAGTATGGGCCTGACGTACACTGTGTACAGTGTCTTGAACGATTCCTTATTAAGGTATCAGAACGCTGTTCTCACGTTTGCCAGGCGCCCATATGCTGCAGCAGTTATCTGGTTGATGTGTGCTTCCGGAGACATGCTCGGTGTTACACTCAGTCCAAGATCTTTCTCCTTGAACGAGGTTTGCAGTCTTTAGCCACCTAGCCTATACTCTGTCTGCGGTCTTCTGTGCCCTTCCCCTATCTTCGTGACTTTTTCATTTGGCAGGATTAAATTCGAGAAGCCAGTTGCTGGACCAGGTGTCCAGTCTGTCCAGGTCTCTTTGAAGTCCTGCCTGGTCCTCGTCTGATTTAATTCTCCTCATCGTCTGTGAACAGGGACACTTCTGAGTCTAACCCTTCCATCATTTCGTTCACATATACCAAAAATGGCACTGGTCCTAGGACCGACCCCTGTGGGACCCCTCTCATCACAGGTGCCCACAGTGATACATCATTACGTACCATGACTCATTGTTGCCTCCCAGTAAGGTATTCTCTGATCCATTGCATTGCCCTTTTGTTATATGTGCCTGATCCTCTAACTTTTGCACTAATCTCTTGCGAGAAACTTTGTCAAAGGCCTTCTTGCAGTCCAAGAAGATGCAATCAACCCACCCCTCTCTCTCGTGTCTTACTTCTGTTACTTTATCATAAAACTCCAGGTTTGTGACACAGGATTTTCCTTCCATGAATCCGTGCTGGTTGGCATTTATACTCTTGTTCCGTTCCAGGTGCTCCACCACTCTCCTCCTGATAATCTTCTCCATAACTTTGCATACTGTGTTTGTGTGTGTGTGTGTGTGTGTGTGTGTGTGTGTGTGTGT